CTGGCGTTCGTAAAAGGTGTACCAAAAATTCAAGTAAAAAGTAATTTTGATCGATAGAAAACAGAAGTTTTTAATTAAAAATTGGAAATTTATTATTAATTTAAAGTATACAATATAGGGTTATGCATGGAATAGTCTATCGAGTAAATGGCCTACACGGCTTTGCTGGCACATACGCACCCTTTTGACGAAATTTTCCATGATCGTTTTGCATAAATGCTGCTGAATTCCGTTGATACCAGTGGCGACTCGTCGTATGAAGCAACTGAGGCCGGGCCTCACTGTAAAATTTAGCTCTCACATCGTATATTTTAATACCTACTATTTTACTATTAACCTAAATAAACAGTTAGGTAAACTAATTTCCAATAACCTATTACATTTATCAAAAATCAAAATAACAGTAATAATAATTGTTTGAATATTGAATATCTCGCCGCTCGCCGTTTCCATCTGTTACTCTCCACTAGTCCCCACCCCAGTGAGACCAGAATTTCTTAGCTTGTAGGGCGTCACACTTGCCTACAATATACTACAGTTCCCCCTCCACATAAGGAGGTTAAAATAACGCGATTTACGAGGGAAATGAGGCCCGCTTAAAGCGGCTTGTACTTGTAGTTTCAGTTCGCGGTTAATGTACGCACCGCATAGTACGCGGGTTGTGTCTCATGTTAGTGTGAGGGGCACTACAAAGGCTTTAAGGACAAGGCAGGTATTAATTTAAAGTAAATAATAAACAACTTCCTTACAACAGAACAAAGTAAGATTAATTTTAACGTAATTTAATAGATATCTATTATAAATTATTAATATATGTACATAGGTAGCTAATAATGGAGCTCTCTCTCACGATATTCTCTCTTTTTTTCAAGACGTAATGACGTAGACTAGTGCTCTAAACGTATTAAAATCGCTAGTCAAAGAATTTCTGAATTAAGAAATATTTGTAATTATGCGAAAAATACTACTACCAAGTAAACGAGGCAAAAGTTGTGACGAATTGAAAATATTTTCGAAATATATTTCCCTTTAATTAAGTACCTACACGTTTTGATACATGATTTAAATTTTATTGCTTTAGTAGATTCCTAAAAGTAAATATGCAAATTTAAAATGCGGATGAATAAACTTGTTTTATAAAAACATTCACTATGTTTTTAAAATATTTTGTTAAAAGTGGAGGCTAACGAAAAGTTGACGACGTTGTTTTATACAGGGTATTAAAAAAGGGTGTAAAATATTTCAGGAGGTAATAGTATGAACCAAAATAAGCAGAAAATAACAAAAAATAAACATGGGTCCGCAAAGTAACGGTTGCGGAGACATGGACCACTATTCGTTTTTCAAACATTTTATTTTATTAGAAATAAACCGACAAAGGAAGCTTTTAACAAACAAAAAACAAAGTTACAGAAGATGTTCAAAGTGCCCTCCGACCATTTCCAAGCAGGCACGACATCTTCGTCTCAACGATATTCGAACTCTTTCGAAAACACCCTCCTTGGTTTGGATTTCTTGACACTTTTGATTAATCCGTAGCTGCAGCTCTTCCAGGCTATTTACAGGAGT